TGCATGTGGAATCATAGAAATTAACTTTTCTAAATATAAAAAAAAATTGTAATCTAAAACAAAAACAGGAAGTGTCCCCAATTTTTTTTTATTTTATGTAAGACCATCCCTTGTGAAATAATTTGTTTTCAAACAAACAGAGGTATGAATTTTTAATTTAAACATTGAGGAACGGCAGCCGCAGCTCGAGCTGCAGATGCTCATCATGAAACACAGACAAGAAAAACCATCAAACTTTTTAATTCCACCCCATTTTGATGAGTATAGTTCAAATGTTTGCCAACAATAAATATAGTGTAACTTCATAGAGCTTGATCTAAAAAATAGCTCGATTGCTTATGGTAAAACTTCTCCTATATAACAGAGATAAACTTTCAGAGTCTAAATATCTAAGAAACTGATATAAACCATAAAGTTTTACAGCTAAAGTCTCTTTCTACTGCAATACTGTTACGCATATAGATATACAATTTGATACCAAAATATAATACACAATTCATACATTCACAAAACAATTTAACTCAGAGATAGGGTGAGGGCTAGCTCTAGCTTTGACATAAGACATATTATTATAAAAGATACAAATTTATCAATTGTTTCACATGTATTTCAAGACCATAGAAATGTGTTAAACATATAAAAGAAAAGGTTTTCATGAAAACGTGGCACTTGAAGTTGTCCCCTGCTACATTCATGATACAGTCTTCTGGAACAGATACGCAGATTGAACAGAAATAAATGTATATTTTTGCATTTCAAAACCTTTAAAAACACTAAATCAGTAGTTTGGCATTAAAATGTAAAAACAGACAATATAATATACCTTTGTGAATGCCAATTGCGGAGTAACATCCACTAGCTAGCCTAGCATCTCTTAACTTAGCACAAAACTAAACTAAACCAGAATTTATGAAGAGATAACCAAGAATGTACATATATTGCTTTGCTATCCTTCACTATTTAAGTAGGTGATAAATCAAAGCCTTAAAGATTTGACAGTTTGTGCGTGGTCCTAATTAGCTACATAAAAAACAACAAAGCAGTGATTAGACTAAACATAAGTGACATTTCAATGACATGTTATAGGTAATGCAAGTAAATAGATTGAACTGCAAAACATTTACAATTAATTAATGAATCTTACAATCATTTTTGGCAGATACAGTGCTGTAAAAAAGTGTTCATCAAGTACAGATAACTTTTTTGTTTGTTTTTTGTCCCACTTAAATCTCTTGGATTAAAAAATATATATACAAACACAAAATATGCAACAAAAAAATAAGGATAAAAACTGTCAAAACATGACTAGCCCACCGTGGTAAAAAAACAAAAAAACAAACAAAAAAACAGATAATATTATTAGGCAGCTATTATCAACCACATTTCTAAAAAAAAACTTATGTTGTATTACTGCCAAATGAAGTAGCACAAAGTTCACATAAAAAGCAAACTATGTCCTGAATAAAGTCATTATCTTTCATTCTTAAATGGGTTAAAATCAATTTCTAAGACACTGAGACCCTAGAAAGTCAAAGTTGGTTCCTTAATCCAGCAACAGAGAAAACAATGAAAATGTGGTAATTTTTCCCATTAGACCTATTGGTTCTAAGTAGGTCTACACATTGACAATTCCTCTAAGAGTTCACAAAGGAACCGAGAAAAAGATATAAAGTATTGCAGTCCTTACTTTACTGTTAATTATTTAACAGTAAGAAAGAGCCTATGGCAAAATGGCATCGTTTAAAGGCCCAAACCGAAATGAACACACAGCCATGTCTCACTTTCTCTGAAACAACTTCTGAGTATTCCCCAAGACATTTGGGCAAATAAAATGTTGATGTTTGGGAGAACAGTGCGAAGTATTCCATCCCAAATAGCATTGCAAAACAAGAACTTAATACTAACATGGTGGTCTGATAACCTGGGGCTGCTTTACCAGTTTATGACCTGGACAACTGCGACTTATAACCGTAAATTCTGCTCTTTATAAGAAGGAATTGATGGATGATGTCCACCTGTTAGCTTTTTATTTTTAGTCCAAGCAATTTGGTTTTTTGTACCCAAGCAATGAGTGGTCTAGTCAAAGTCTGGTTTTAAATTAAGTTAACATGTTGGACTTTTGTGCTCAAAAGCCCATAAATGTGGCTTAATTAAAACAACTTTGCTGAAAAAAGTAGGCAAAAACTCCTGGAAGAAAAATGAATACATGTTGTTGAAAATGTTTGCAGCAAATACCAGTTATTAGGTCCTGGTTGCCATTACTGTGCGCATTCACACCCATTTGGCAATTAAAAACGCTTAAAAGCCTAAACCTGGATGCTGGGTCAAACGCTGGTCAAGATGCTTTGACATTTCAGCACCCTAGATGCTCTGTGTTCTGATTGTTTATCTGCTCTGTTCTGTTGTTACAAGCTAGAGAGCAGCTTGGCTTTATTTACTTTAGTGAGTTGGAAAAATAGTTTTAACACGTTTTTAAGTAAAAAAGTCCACCTCAAAACATCATCTGTGCAGTCAGTTCATCAGGATTACAATCCTGCTAAAATATGCAGTTCTTGTTGATCTCCAGCACACTGGAGGGCAGCAGAGCTGCGACTCCCCAGTGAAATGAATGTTTATAGTGGCTAGAAGTGAATTATTCTAAAGCAGCGGTCCCCAAC